AGCTGAAATCCATCCATTCCTTTGACATTTAACATGAAATCTGGACAAAAAGACTAAGAGCTCCACTTGATTAAGATTCTTGGAAGCGCCGCATTTGTGCGACAACCACAGATCCTGGCAGTTCCCACCTGATGAAAAATGCTTTTTGGGCCCCTCGTCGTCCAGTTTTTGGAGGTCTTGTTTGGTGAAATGGCGCACTCTTGAAGTGGGCTTGGCCGGAATCGAAACGGGTCCGGCGCAACTCTGCAGAGATCGCGCAATGTCGAGGGCGCGAAATGCAGGCAAGAGTGTCCTGTTTCTTCCAAACATTCTGCAAACCAGTTCGGAAAAACACGGAAAGCGGAGTAGCAGCCCCACATCCCCAACAAAGCCCACAACATGTCTTGTGAACAATGGATGAAAATTGCCATTTTTTGCACGAGTCGAGGGGCTGTGTGTGCAGGATATGCACAAGTCACCTTAAGCTAGTAAAAGAGTGAAATACGAACCAAGCAGCTGGCCGAAACCAGACCACCAAAACCCCCAAAACCCCAAAACAAAACAACAAACAAAACACAACCCCACCAAGCCGCTGGCAAGGTTCGTACCTCAGGATGGCTGAGTCAGCCAAAAGAAGCGGTGAAACAGTGTGAGACCAGGGGCTATGAATTCTGCTCTGCGCTTAGTACGTCATCTTCAGGTTTATAACTTGCGCTTGACATGCCATCGAGGTATAATCACTGCCCCTCGGCTGACGAGATCAGCGGGATCAGCGGCATTCTTCATACGGTGAAATAAACTGGATGAAAATTGCCAATATGATAAAGGAGATGCCTCAAGATAGCCGCAGACTGACAGCAAAAGACCACCATGGCCTAAAAAAGTAACCTACTTATACTTGTCGGACCTAAGTCTGTCATGGGTTTTACCGCAAAAAGTAAAATAACAGCAGCAAAGCCTGCAACATAGATCCCACGGCCCCAATCACCTCCAACATACCCCAGCCCCAACATTTGGCAACATGGAGAAGGATACACCCCAAGAATGCACCAAGATCGCCGAAGATTGGAGCAAACATGCCCAAATTTGACCGCCCATTGGAGCAAGCTTTCGTAAGTAACAAAAATGCAAACCAAATTATCCCGGCAAGAGACCCCAAACAGTGTGTGTGAGGTCTGTAAGCAGAAAGTCTTAGAGATGTAGACGCATTGGGGTCCAGAGAGGTGATGGTGATGAAGGTGGGGATCGTGGTGACGGTGGCGGTGGTGGTGAGTGAGTGGGTGTGATTGTGAGCGTGAATGAGAGTGAAGGTGGGTGTGAGTGTGGGTGAGAGGGAGTGTGAGATGTGAGTGAGAGTGAGCGTGGGTGAGAGTGAGTGTGAGTGTGAGTGTGAGCGTGAGTGGGAGCGCGAGTCTGAATGGGGGTGAGAATGAGTGTGGGTGAGAGTGCGGGTGAAAGTGGGAGAGTGAGAGAGCGAGCATTCAATTGACAAGCGTAAAATATTGCGCCTGCCACGAAATCTGCACTGAGGTTCACCAAGCGCTGCGCCTGCCGCGAGATCTGCACTTCGTTCACCAAGCGCTGTGCCTGCCACGAAAAATCTGCACTTTGGGGTTCACCAAGTGCTATAACTCCCACGAGACCTGCACTTCGAGGTTCACAAAGCGCTGTGCCTGCCACGAAATCTGCAGTCCAAAAATCACGATTCACTGCACCTGTCACGAAATCTGCGCCTGCAACGAGATAAGGTTCAACAAGTGCTGCGCCTGCCACGAAATCTGCACTTCGAGGTTCACCAAGCGCTGTGCCTGCCCGAAATCTGCACTTCGAGGTTCACCACGTGCTGCGCTTGCCACGAAATCTGCGCTTCAAGTGTACCTGCCACGAAATCTGCGCATCGAGGGTCACAGAGTGCTGCGCCTGCCACGAAAACTGCAAACGAGCAACATCGGGCATAGAACAAGACATCAACTTCCCAGAACCAATGGCCTGCGAAAACTGCAAGCAGCTGATTTTCGTCGACCTGTCCATCACTGAGATTGGTGACATATGGGGATCCACCTTCTCACACCACATTGGACCTTCTTTGACTGTGGACAACGCACTCGTTTCACAAAGATGAGTGACCTCACAGCGTGGCGAGGGCTTCATGCAGAAAGTAACACCTTTGCCATGTGCACCAACTTTAAACGTCCTCATTGGATCAACTTACGATGCTGTCGATGATGAACGGAAACCACGTCCCTGAGGACTTGCGGTGCAACCACTGCAGCAGCCTTCGACAGCGTTCGACTTGTACAAAGGTGTGCTCAGTAGCCAGCTCCCAGGCGGGTACCTCAGCGCCTGTCCTGGATGAGTACACAGTGCACAGCTCGCTAAGTGTAGTTTGGCGAAGTCTCACCGTGTTTCACTGTAGTTGTGGGGCCACGCATGTCTTCGACCAAATACCACTCGCAGCAACCACCTTGTCTCCTCGTGTCTGCCTTTTTGCGAAGCTGTTTTGAGGCGCACTGCCACAAGGTCACCAGGTTGCCCTGCCTTCCTTCCCCTTCCCCCCCCTCTTGGGGGAAAATCTAATTTTCTAAGTGGCAACTCACGTGGCACGAGCTTCGATCAAGAGTGTTACACCCGTGCCAATGTCGCCTACAGCAGGGCCACTGACCTCACTATATCGGCATGCCCGGTTAACATGCATGGCATCCCAGGTGTCTCTCAGGTAATATCAGCCCTCCTGCATGGAGTGTGTACACTGCACACTAGTCACAAAGAATCAGTAGGAGCTTGGGTTGAAGGATGCTTCTCAGTAGGCAGCAAGGGTGTTGTAGCTTCCACTGCTGCCTTCTTGGCAGCTATGGAACCACATGATTTGTGGAATGGCCCACTGCCAGTCTGTCTGTCTGCTCGAACATCACAAAGGCAGGGCGCGCAGACTTCGTCTTATCCTCACGTCGCAGGATCTCCTCACGTCGGGAGAGAAGCTGCTCATGGACAAGAATCATCCCGCGCATGGCAGCGGTCTCCTTTTTGGCTGCGCTGCAGATAGGTGTGAAGACCCTGACTGGCTGGTCAATCCCATGGTTGGCGTCTCCTGCATGCGGTTAGCCAAGGAGGGGGTACTAGGTTCAGTGTAGGCAACTCTAGTCGTTATGCTCCAGGGCAGGTTGACGATGTAGCCAATAAGGCTAAAGAATATCAATTCGAATCCTTGCGCAAGATTCATTTCTATGATGCATGGCGTTGTCAACCAGAGTTGAACCAGCCTGACTCCCTCCTTCATCTCCCCCCGACCAGGGTTGGTGCAAAAGGGCTGTTATTGGCGCCCCACCCTGCCTCCTCAAACAATTGACACGGAGCCTGCTGACAACCAGGCGAGAGGAGTCTTGGCAGAGGTCAGCCTTACAGAAACTGCCTCAGAGACAAGTGGCACTGCCACCTCCCCCAGCGCCCCTCGCGAGAGAGCACGGATCACGCTGCTGCCTCTCCACTCTCGGTGGGGAGCTCAGTAGATGCCGACAATTGCTCCCCGGATGGGGACACCGAGCCTTCACTTGAAGAAATTCAGGTCGTCACCCTCACCTCCATGAGTGAAGACAAAACAGGCCAAGAAGGCGAAGAAGAGGATGCTCTGGTGGGTAGCGAAGTTCTCGAAGAGGAAGAAACGGAGGAACACCTTGCGAAACTCGATCACTTCGAGTGATCCCACCAAAAGAGGTTTCGTTTAACCCTGGCACTCCAAAAGCACACACGCACGCGAGCAACCTTTTCGCTCCAGAACAAGGTGACGTCCACACTATCTTTCAAGATAGCTGCGCTAGCTTTACAGTTCTTTACATCTTCCATCTAGACGAAGCTTGACCCATCTAGTGGCAGTGGAAACACGGAAACTCGATTTCCGGTTCACGACGATTCCGCTAACCCTCATTAGCTATGGAGAGATTTACAAATCACTATACAGCTCTTCCATGCGAAGCTTCAAAGTTCCAACCCAAAACTTTCGGACAAAAACCGTGGGGTCCAAGCAACCCTGTGGCATCCGTGACTGCTATCAATATCCAAAGGAGGTTATTGATTCCCAAACGAACCAGGAAACACATGTTTGTGTTTCCCCCGTCAGACGCCATCTTTATCAGCATGAAGATCCTCTCAAAGGAGAGAGAACCCTCGGACGCACCTCGAAGGTGTTCCTTCTAGACGGCTTGTGTCATCATCCGGGAGAAACCCAAACCAGGGGGACACAACCAAGAACCAAAGATATAACCTCCCCGGACATATATGCAGTATATGTGAACTATACATCCTCCACTGAGCATCATCTCCTGATGCGAAGACAGTTCTCTCCACTTATGCACTCAGGTGCATATGCATGCATCACAAACACACATGGTGGTTTCCAAACCACCTTCAAAGGCTTTCCCCGCATCTTCTCGATGCAACAAACATTCTTAAACACATACAGCTGCCCTTCAAACACTCTCGTGGCCTACGTGCACTAACCAAGTGCACTCCAAACACTCCAAAAGGTCTGGCACCATCCGCTATATGCCTTCAAGGCGTTCGAACTTCCTCCCGCAGCTCTCACGCGCTTCCAAAGCGCATGAACTCCAACGAATGAAGTCCCAACACACACAACCAAGCACGTGCACTTCCCTGGCGCACTCATAATGAAAATCTTCCACACCCCCTTTCGACGGGGCAAGTGCAGCTGTTGTCAAAGGAACCACTGCAACAAACGTTCATAGCGAAGCTCTTCTCACATGCCAGCTACCAAACATAGTGTCATCTAGCAACTCACATGTAATCTAAGAATTCAATCTCGCTTTCTAGCAGTTCAACTCAAAGCGGACCAAAGCCCTAACAGAATCACTGCTAGCTCGAATTCGCCGATCTCCAAAAGGAAATCAAAGAAAATCACAAAGACCACTCAATCCAGCTTTCTTCTGCAGATCAACCCAAAGCGGACCAAAGCCCTAACAGAATCACTGCCAAGCTAAATCCAGCGATCTCCGACCTGGAGAAAGGGATCACTTCTTGTATGTTCGCTGATAGCCACCTCCTGAGGAGGTCCATCCACGAGCCATGAGATACATGGCCAGGTCCACACCCTGACTCTTGGGGCTTGCACAAGCCTCATCTCCGAATTTTCCCACAATCCAGTTGAGGTAGGTCTTGACCTTTTTCTCACTCTTGGAAATCTCAACGGCTTCCGCAAAGGTCATCTTGCGGTCCGTCATAGCAGGCATTGCGATCACCACCTTTCCCCATTGTTCCAATGATGAAATTCCCTCTGATTCAAAGCACTCATCTGGCCTTCAAATTCAAAAGGAGGATTCTCCAAATGTTCAAATGAAGCGTCTGAAAACTCATCTTGCGCATCTCGCTGTCTCTTCGAGGCATCCGACATGCTTCCGCCAGCTTTGCTCACGGTGGCCTTTGCCTTCGGCAAGACGAGTCCTTGGCTCTTCTCGCGTTTCATTAGCAACTCATTCAGCTGGCGTTCTTCCTCTGGTGAAAGACCAGCCATGGCTTCGGCGCAAGTCCGAATCTAGAGGTGAAATTCACACTCAACCTCGAAGCTACTTCAGCAGCAAGCGAGCGAAAGTACTCTCAGAGTGCCTTCTGTTGAGTTCGCTTGTTCAAAGAAACAAAAGCCACAACCCTCCAACGAGGGTTACGCGTCCAAGTCAAAGCCTTCAGCTTTCCTCTCCTGCGAATACCTCCCTACTGGAGGATGAACACAAGACGCGATCAAACACACTTACGCATGCTCCAACGCCTCCTGCGCTCCCTGTACTATTGCCTTCGCAAGCTTCTTATTATAAAAAGCCGTCTGTGTCCAATCTGTTTCTTGAAAAGCAGCATGAACATGACACTTACAAATCCCAAAAGAACGATACAGTTTCTCCGTAAACTTCTTAGAAGTTGACGTAAAGCACAAAGTCTTACCCACTGGCTTTCCGTTTGAACTCACAAGTCCCGTTTTGCATAAACGAACAGGCGTGTCAAAAGCGTGTTTTGCTTCTTTCAGTGTTCTCTTGCACAAATCATATGTCCAAATACGATTATACCATGGTAGTTCAAAGCTACTCTCATCACCTAGCTTCAGGTATTTCAACACTTTGGGAAACATCTCAAACCATTGCCAATCTGAGTCACACACCGAACCGCTGAAGTTTCGAAGTGGAGATCCACTCGAACACGGACTGGAGACATGCACAAACACTTTCAATGGTTTCAACTGTCCGATCTGCTTTTGAAGTTCCACGAAGGTCTTCTCCTTCTCCATCGCACTCGTCACACCACAGTATGACACTTCTTGGCAAACTTGCGAAATCCTGCTATCCTGTCGACAGCACAACTCGACAAAGAGACATCTCTTTCCAAGATCCGTCAAGCTCAACAGGGGTCCTGACATGACTTCAAATCCAAGCGCTTCCCGATGCATGCCAAACAGAGAACTACCCAGACATTTAGTTAGCATGTCACTAGGATTCGTTTGCCCCCTTTGGAACTCAAGAACCAGTTTCTTTTCAGTCACACGGCGAGATCTCTTCGGCATGTCCATATTTTTGAGTAACTTCAAGGAACTCTCGGAATCCGTGAAAAGGACACCAGGAATCTCAGTTTTGGTGGTTTCCCCAAAAGATCTCAAAACTCTCGCACATACCTTCCCAAGCGATGACATCTCCTGAGCGACCATTTGAAGAGCAAATAGCTCTGATTCCATGGGCGACAAGCTGATCAACTGCTGATGTCTCAACAACGTTCGAATCGTGCTTCCAAACACCGTCAGAACTCCCCAGAAATCCCCAGTCTCTTCGTGGTTCTAAGAGGCGCATGTGAAGCGTCCGAATAACACACTAGGTGGGGTTCATCCCTGAAAAACCTATCTTGGACCACAACAGTAGTCTCTGCGGGTGACCTAACTGCAACCAACATATCATTCTGAAGGAATCTCAACAAACTTCTCAACCCTTGTTCTGTATGGTTTGTAGGACAAGACTGTTGACATGGGAGAATCGAAACGTACGCTCGAAGGTCCTGTCTCGTCTGTGTCATCCACGCGAACCGACCTAAAGCTGTCCGAAACCGATGGCAGGTACGAGCAAGACAATCGCCGTAACTCCACTTGTGTCTATCCATGACAGTTTCAAAGCGGGGCCCAGGAAGCGAGCCTCAGTGGCGCAGCCATCCTATCTCTGACAGGTATGACTTCCGGGTGTCTGAGTTTGAGCGCAGCTAGGTCATGGCGTTCCAACGGGAGTTGACACCGCAACCAATGGAGGTATTGGTGTTTGGAAGTCCCCATCCATTTGTCTGATCCACTGACCACTGTGTAGTCTAGCCTGTGCGAGACAACATGTCGCTCGAATTGATTGGGTTGGCAATCACATAGTAGGTCCTCTTCTGCATGAATGAGATGTATTCTGCATCGGCCCGGAGATGCCATAGTTTGCAACAGGGCAAACACTCCTTTGGCATCGCCACGGCTCCAAGCTTGGCAGAGAGTCGGCATGTAGGAAAGAGCCGGCGAAGGGCCAGGAGGATGACTGCTCCTGTGTAGCTGCAGGACAATACAGCTCAGTCGCGCTGATGCTACGGCTACGTCAGACTCGGGAGCACGCAACAATACGCTCCGGCTGTAGAGCTAAGAGTTTCCACCAGAGTCCATTGAGAAACGTCACATGCGGTAACCTCCTGTGCGCTGTAGCCTCGCTGCCTCTAACATGATTTGGATTCTCCTATAGAGGAGTGATGCCCGCCCAAAACTAATCTCTTGCCATCGCATGCATGGCTGCACAGTGAGCGACATGAGCATGGCTAGTTTGTGGAGACAGGTAGTGGCTCCCGCTGCTACCCCAGTGATTTTCTCCCCCGGCCGGTCAACAGGCGCGAGCGAGGGACCATAGACGCACTGCGCTGCCTCCACTAAACACGGCCGAGCAATAACATAGTTGCAGTGGTTGGCTCTGAGCTTACTCTGCAGGGATCTGCTAGAACTTGGCAGGTGTCAAGCTGCACAAATTGCAATTCACACCCCGAGTGCTACTACTTCCTAAGTAGGGAGTTCAGCGAGGAGGGCATTTTCAAAACTCCGTATGCTGATATGTGCATTCAGATCTATCTCAATGGACAGCTGCTCTCCTGCCAACGTGAGAAAGGTACACGACTGTGTCACCATCCCTTCTGCACAGCGGTGAGGAGTGGAACGCAGCTTGAGGACTCTGGCTTGAGCCATTAGAGCTTGCAGTGTTTGTGTGCGTAGTTTCTTCTCACCCTAGAACGGAGCATGAATGGCCATCTACTCCCTTGGCTTAGAGGCTGCGTGCACGAACGGTTAGTGCCATGTCCATGGGCACGAATTGCTTGGCCGGAGAGCTAAGGCTCGCGCCCACACTAGATAGATTGCGGTGAAACCATAGGCTGTTACATTTTAGCCAGGGGCCGTTTAGGCTGGACTAGAGACATACCCTGTGTCCGGAATCATGTGCAGCCGTGGTGGCCATCGCATGTTTGGGCAAATGGCAAAGGCGTTTTCCTCAGCATAAACCGCTCGCCATTTGTGCCGGCCAGGCAACTTGACTGGCCTTTTGAAGGCAGTACAGTCTAGGAAAGCTCTGCTCGCTATATACTTAAGTGAGGGTGGTATAGCAAATTCTGGCAGGGCTGCACAATTCATGAAGGCCTTAACTCGAATCGTGTGGAGTGTTTTCGGAAGGCGAATATCAATGAGGCTCGTACAGTGAACAAAGGTTAATTCCTGTATTTCCTCGATTTGTGTGTTCGAAAGGTCAACCTGCTTGAGCAGATGGCAGTTGTCACAAGCGTGGGCCCTGATGACTTTAAAACTCTGAGGTAACGCTAGCGTGGCTATCTCTGTTGAGCTGAGACAACCTAAAGCCAACTTTCTAGCAGTGGGCAGCAACAGCTCATCTGGGGAGGGACTCTCGTACAGGGTGAATTCGGCAAGGTTGATACAGCCTCTGAAGAGATAATGCCCAAACTTGGTGCCACTGCTAAACCGATTGGCGATATCTTCAGTGGTATAGACCCACTGCAGTGAGCAACACTCATCAAAGGCTTTATAGCCAAACTCTCGGCAACCAGGAGCAGTGACACTATTAAGCAGTTTACAGCTTCGAAATGCGTTGTCAGAGATGCTAACAACTGTGGGCGGCAGCTTGACAATTCGAAGCTGACGGCATGAGTGCCACGCTTCTGGGCCAATAAGGCGAATGCCTGACTCTACGCTAGCATGACGCAGGCGCGGCACTCCTGCGAAAGCCCCTTCTGGGACAGCGCCTTCTGGATTCACAGGAACGTGGACAGCAAGCGGAACTTTGTCAATGGGATACCCGTCTAAAAGTTCCTGCGAGGGCAGGGATTCGCTACAATCCTTGAAAATGATGCAGTATTCCTTACTCTGTTGCAGTCTGTTCCAGATCGGGTCTTCCAAATAAGTCTGTGTGGCCAAGTGCAAAAATTCGATCGAGCATCCAAACACTTTGAGGTCAGTCACGGAAATGAGGTAATCCATAACATGATCCTCTAAGTCCGCAAAACGGTCGAATTTGGCAATGCTGAGAGAGACATTGAACGTCACTCCTGACAGAGTAGTTAGCACTAAGCAACACTCCATCACAGGCTCTGTCTCCGGGGGGGTGCTGGCACCAGAAGATTCGGCAGGCTCCATGGAGCGTGTCAGAGCAGCCAACGGCGTACCGTTAAGTTGATATTGCTTTACTGTGCTGTTGCTTTGTGATGAGTCCTAACTCTCTGAGCCAGAGGGCAGCACGACGGACAGATGCCTACCAGGACTGGTGCTACGGCACCCGCCTTGGTGACTTGATGAAATACCTAACAGTCATGGAAATTCTGTATAAATCTCTTCATCAAATGCGTCTGAGTCCGGTCCTTCGGTGGGTAGCAGCTCCACCCATGACGGCTGCTCGAAATTATCACATAGCATAAAAGCGTTGCGCTCTGCTTGTACATGTTGGTCATTCTCCCCCAGGTCAACGAGAGTAAAAACTCTTAGCTGCTCACACCCACAAAATGCACGGATGCCTATTTCCTGGAGCTCGGTCGGAATGACCACTTCCTGGAGCGCTATGCAGCTGAGGAAAGCTTCCTTACCGATTTGCGTTAAGCGTGGCGGCAGCCAAATATTAGTCATAGCCACGCAGTGAGCGAAGGTGGATGTGAGGAGGGCTGTGATATCCGTGCTCATGAGGTTGACTTCTACCAGTCTCTTGCAGTTTTCACAAGCCCGGGGGCCGATGTTGTGAAAGTCGCTCGGGAGGCAGAGTGTTTCCAGACCCGACCCACAGAATGCTCCCTCTGGCAGCGCTCTTGCCTTATTGGTTTGGTCCATTGCAAAGGTGATGGATGCAAGCGTGAGACAGCTCTCGAAAACATAGCGGCCCAACTGCGCTCCTGGCGCCAGGACATTGTCATCACTTGCCGTTTGGCTAACGCCAATTCGACTGAGAGAGCAGCACTCCGCAAACACTCTTCGACTGA